GCTGACTGGGACTCTTTTCGTGACTTTCTTCGTGATGGCCTCTGGGTAGAAATCTTTCGTCTCCCTGTTGACAAATGTGCTTCTTACATAACTTCGTGGATTCAGGCTGGCATGGAATCCTTTATTCCCTCTCGACGATTCCAGGTCAAGCCTCACTCTTCTCCATGGTTTTCCTCACATTGTGCTGCTGCAATTGCCAATCAAAACCATTACGTCCATATCTATCAGCAAAACAATTCTCCAGAAAACAGACGTCTCTTTATTACTGCTAGGAACCATTGTAAAAAGGTTTTGTCTAACGCCAAAACCCGCTATTCTCAGATCATGAAATCTCGTATTTCATCACAAAAATTAGGTGACTCTCGTGACTTCTGGAGAATCTTTAATAGTATCAATAATAAGGGCAAGTCTGTAATTCCACCTCTTTTGTACGGTTCAGACTTTTTCACCTCACCTAAAGACAAAGCTGAATTGTTTGCCAAGAACTTTTCATCGATATCATCTCTTGATGCCACGAGTTGTGTTTTACCTGATATACCCGTCAAACAGGTTGATCCATTGCTCGACATTCATATCACTCCAGCTTCTGTATCTAAAGTGATTTCCCGCTTAGACTCTTCTACAGCATGCGGCCCGGACAACATACCTGTTATAGTCTTGCAGAAGTGTTCTCCTGAGCTGTCGTCTATCTTTTCAAAACTATTCAACAAGTGCTTATCAGAGTCTTGTTTTCCAGCCTGCTGGAAAGCAGCATCTGTTATCCCTATTTTTAAAATTTCTGGAGAGCGATCTGACTCATCCAACTACCGTCCCATTAGTCTTCTTCCTATCATAAGCAAGGTTTTTGAATCTTTAATTAACAAACACTTAATCTCTCATCTCGAATCTCATAACCTACTTTCTGATCATCAAAGGGATTTCGATCTTCTCATTCCATGGCTGATTTGCTATCAGTAATAACCGATAGGTTTTATCGCGCATTAGATAAAGGTGGAGAGGTTAAGGCCATTGCTCTTGACATTTCTAAAGCGTTTGATAAAGTTTGGCATGCTGGTCTCCTCCATAAGCTTTCTTCTTATGGTGTATCTGGAAACATCTTTAAGATTATTGAATCCTTCCTTTCCAATCGTAGTATAAAAGTTGTCCTTGATGGACAGCACTCTTCTTCTTATTCTGCAACCTTAGGGGTTCCCCAAGGTTCAATCCTTGGCCCTATACTCTTTTTAATTTACATTAACGATCTTCCAGATACTCTCACATCTAAGGTGGCATTGTTACCTGATGATACTACCATTTATTCTTGTCACGATAAGAAGCCAACTCCCTCTGATTGCTTGCAGGGGGCATCTAAGCTCGAAAAGGATCTCACTTCTGCTACAGCATGGGGCTCGCAGTGGCTGGTGAACTTTAATTCAGATAAAACTCAATTTTTTCGGCCAATCGTTATCGCAATAATTTAGACCTTCCTATATTTATGAACGGTAATGTACTCGATGAGTCTCCTACCCTTCATCTTCTAGGATTAACTCTTACTTCTGATCTTTCTTGGAAACCTTATATCAAATCCGTTGCAAAATTAGCATCTGCTAAAGTTGCATCTCTTTATCGAGCTCGTCACTTTCTTACTCTGGATTCTATTCTCTATCTCTATAAATCTCAAATCCGGCCTTGTATGAAATACTGTTGCCATATCTGGGGTGGATCTTCTAATGATGCCGTTTTTCTTTTAGACAAGGTGCAAAGGCGCATTGTAAACATAGTTGGAACTGCTCTTGCAGCCAACCTTCAGCCTCTGTCTCATCGTCGTAATGTTGCTTCTCTTTCTCTTTTCTACAAATACTATAATGGGCACTGCTCTAAAGAGCTAGCGTCTCTACTAAAATTCATTGTCGTGTTACTCGTCATTCAATTAAGTCTCATCTTTTTTCTGTTACTGTTCCTAAGTGCTCCAAAAACTCTTATTTGTCTAGTTTTTTTCCTCGAACATCAGTTCTTTGGAATTCGCTTCCTTCATCTTGCTTTCCTGATTCATATAATTTGCAATATTTTAAGTCGTCTGTCAATCGTTATCTTGCTCTACAATCTTCATCTTTTCTCTTCCAGTAACTTCCAACACTAATTAGTGGTTGCTTGCAACCTTGTTGGAAGCGAAGATAATTAAAATATATATATATATATATATATATATATATATATATATATATATATATATATATATATATATATATATATATATATATATATATATATATATATATATATATATATATACATATTTTATTGTTGGTACAACTTGGATGTTTGTATAAAATGATTAATTATTAGAACAGTATTAGAAATTATTAGAATAGGAATCAATCAAAGTTTTAATAACCACCATTAGTAGAGTTAAAAATAACATGGCGAGAGTTAAAAGAAAAGATGATTTGAATGGCAAAAAAGCTGAAGGTTGACATCGACCATTAAAGTTAAATATATGTCAAATTTTTCAGATAAAAAAATTATTAATAAAAAGACAAACTACTAATTATTTCTGAGTTATTTAGAAAGTTTAAAATATCAAGGAAGTCAAATAAATATTATATTGATAAAATATTTAATTTTAATAAAGTTTCAAAAGGATGGGTACATGCATTATCACCGTTAGCAATCGAGAGAAGGTTTACAAGATCAAAGAAACTTTACGGATAAAATTTTTTTTTAAAACAATTAATTAATTTTTAAATATGTTTTCCATTTCAATGTCACATGACTGTAAATATATTTTAATAAAAATGTCTATTAAAAATATTTATACCATTTTTGTGTTCACATTTGTTTATTATAAGAAAGCACTCATAGGTGTAAGAGTTAAAAAATTAGTTATAAATATAATAATTAAATATTAAGTTCATTATTTATATTTAGAACAAGAAATATTTTTTTTTTTTTTACAAAATTGTAAAACTGTTTTATACTTTGTAAATATATTTTATTATAGTCTGTCGAAGTAAATATTCTGAGAGAGAGAGAGAGAGAGAGAGAGAGAGAGAGAGAGAGAGAGAGAGAGAAAAAGAGATTCAAGGTAGGTATTTTACTTTTGTTTTTAACAATTTTTAACTTAAGCATGAACAAAAAAAAAACTTTTTTTAAAAATGATAAAAAGTATTTCATTGATTTCATATTTATTTTTTTAGTGATGACAATGGACCAGATAGGTAAAAATTATTTCGTTTATAAATTATTAATTTTCTGTTATATTATAGTTACGTTTTAAAATTTTTTTAGCTTGCTAAAGCTTAGACCTAAGTATGTATCTTTATTAACAAATTTTAAATTTTTTTTTCAAATGGTTTTATATTAAATGAAAATAATAATTTGATAAACTAAGTTTTCATTTTAAAACAAAAAAGAAAACTTGGGTTTTATTGTTAAACTGTTGAGTTATTTTGTAAGTAAATTTAGCAATTAATTATTGAAATTTGATTTTAAAGAAGTTGTAAAGATTTTTATTTATTTATTAATATAAAAAAATCTAATTTTAAATTTGGGAGTAATGGTATATGGCGCCAACAATGGCATAAACAGGAAATTTGGTTAAAATTATTACAATCACGAACTGAGATTGGTTACATTGCACTTTAAAACCTCTATTTTTATCATTCAAATCTTCAACTTCAATTTAAGTTTTTATTTCTTGTAGGTATTTATTTATTGCCGAAAAGAGTTTTTAACTTTATCCAGAGTTATTTGTTGCTGGGTCTTAGTTAAACCACTCATATTGAGTAACAACTTAAAGGTAACCATTGCACATAATTAGTGTTTTTAATAATTTATTACTTTTTTATATTTAAAAATCTTTTCTTACTTAAAAACCTTTTTGTTTTTTTGTTTTTATTTAGATTTAGAGTTGACTCGAAATGGAAAAGAAAGGAAAGACTGTATTTTTGTGTATTTGGATTGATTTACTTATATTTATATTTATTATTTAACCAATATATATTACTTAAAGATTTTTAAAGTATATTTATATTGTAAATGTATATAGGGATATGTAATATAATTATATTATTGGTTTTTCCGTGGAATAACGCATAGTTTGGTCATCGGCAGCTGGCGGAACTTTTCCGTAAAAAACGCGCTATTTTTTAACTGTGTAGCTTCTGAGTCAAGTGCGCTAACCACTGCGCTCCGGCTGATCATATATAGTTTTATATCTGATATAGTCTCAGATATAGTTTTTTATCTGATAAATTACCAGTTTTTCTAAAACAACGCTCCAATTAACGACTTATGCTTTTTTAATTTTTGTATCAGAAGATAACCATTTACTACTATGCTTGCTAATTCTAATTGAATATTTTTGAAATAGAGTCAGATTATTAAGAACGGTTGTTATATTTGTTCTTTTTTGTTCAGCATAATAATCTACATTAAATTCAGGTAATAAACAGCATGGTATCAGTTGCATTTCTTCTATAAAATACAATAAATTTAGTTTTTTAAAATTTCGTTTCCGAAAACCAATTGGTTTTCAGGAAACGAAATTTTAAAAAACTAAATTTATTATGTTTTGTCCCCTTCCGTGAATAAAGCACTTGAGAGGAAGGAGCTATATACTCATAGTTATATTAACTCAAGGTAAGAATTTTTTATTCTGGTAATCAAACTGTAGTCTAAATGTGACCCAAATTTTTAAGACTTTAATTTAGACAAACGACACAAAACACTGATTGTTTCTCCAAAAAAAAAAAAAAATTTTTTTTTTGAAACCTACGTAAAATATTTTGTTATAGGAATTACACACATCTTCATACCAAAATGTTTTACAACCTAACTTTGATCAAATATTTTTAATATATTTTTATTTTTATCAGTTTTATTTGTTTTATATAAGTAAATTAGTAAAATAGTAAAAATTATTTAACAAATAAGATAAAAATCTTCAATAAATTAAAGAAATTTATCTTATTTGTTAAAATCGCTTTGAGTTTGTTTCGATGTTTACAAAGCAATATAAATTTTATATTCATAATTTTTCATAATTATGAATTGTAGTTTTAAAACTTGGTAAAATCACGTGTTGGTAAAAAAAATTTGTGTTTATAAAATTTTTACATTTCTAAAACCTTTTTTGTTCATAAAAATTTTGTACAAAAATATTCTTTTATTCTTTTTTAGTTGATCCTTTCTTTTCTTTTGTCATTTTCAACTTCTCTTTCTTTCCTGCTTTTACTTTTTTCAATGTTTTTGATTTTTCTTTCTTTTTTTTAGGATATATAACGGGTGGAGGTGGGGGAACTGGAGGAGGAGGAGGGGGAGGTAAAGGAGCCGGAGGTGGAACAGGAGGCAATGGAGCTGGTGGTGGTGGGAATGGTGGAGGAACTGGTGGAGGAACTGGAGGTGGGTATACTGGTGGTGGCGGTGGAGGAAAAGGTGGTAAAACGGGTGGATACACTGGTGGTGGAACCATTGGTGGCGCAACAGGAGCTGGAGCAGCTACTGGAACTGGTGGTTGCTTGGGCTTTTTCTTCTTTTTATCTTTTTCATCTTTTTTTTTATCTTTTTTTTCTTCTTCTTCTTCATCATCTGCGTCATTATTTTCGTTTCCTTCCTCAAGATCATCATCTAGCGATTTTTTCTCATTTTTTTTGTCTTCGGCAGTTAGTTTAATATGATCGCTTGTTTCTTCTTCCAAACTTCTTTTAGGTTTTACAAGTGTTTTTAATGTCACACTTTTTGTTTTTTTTGCTTTTGTTTTTTTCTCGCTTTTTTTGGTATTTTTTTTCTCGCTTTTTTTTCCTAAAATTCAAGAACATTGTTATTTTAAATGTATATTTAAAAAAATTTAATAACATTAACTTAATTCATTATATAAAATGCGAAGACATATTTAAGGTACTGTAGATTCTTTTTGCATTTCTATTAAAATTTATTTTTACCTTTTGCTTTTACATCTTTAGATTTTTCTGATTCGACGTTTTCACTTTTAGTTTTAACAAGATTTTCTTTCTCTCCTGATTCAGCATCTTCATTTTTAGCTTCTCCAAGATTTGCTTGTTTTTCGGATTCAATATTTATATTCTTGCTTTCTACACAAACGAATATTTTAACCTTCAGTTATATTTATGTGAATTCTATTTAAATAATCATATATATATATATAATTGCTGAAAAATCGAACTTGTAATTTTTCCTGTTCAACAAATATTTGAACATATATAACATGAAAAACTTACAATGCACCGACGAAAATTTGAAACAATATTATGGAAGGTAATTAACATGCATGCTTTAGGTAACTACTTAACATGCAACTAAATTGGTTTCACTTTGATTCAGTGCAAGTTCTAAAAATAACTTAGTAAATAGTTTTTTGGTTAAAATTTATTTCTTTAAATTAGGATTGTTATAAATGTTATAAATTAAGTCTATTAAAAGTTTTTCTAGTGCAAAAAAAATTCATTTTAAAGCTTGTGTGGCTTTTTTTGAATTTTTTTGAACTTTTTACTTTTTACAGAATTTGTAGTTGAATCATTTTTTAATAGAGGTTTTTTACTTTTTTTTGCCCCTATTGGGGTTTTGCCAATTTTGGGAGAAAGTTGTGAAGATGCATCTGTTTCAGAGGATCCTGATCCCGAAGAATTATTTTCGGTGCTACCTTCATCTAATTCATGATTATCGTCACTATTATCTTCGTTTGTATCGTCATCGTCATCATTACTACGTCGTTTTCGAGAAGTTTGCTTTAATCGAGTATGAGATGTTGTATGCGATTTGGCGTGTTGTATTAAAACTGCGTTAGGTGTTTGAGATATTTTATTGATAGTGTGCGTTAGAACAGTTCCTTTTTTGTGAGCTTTTTTTCCCTTTCCTTTTGACTTCACCAAATTCTTTCCCTTTACTTTCTTTGAAACTTTTTTAACTTCTCCTTTTTGTTTTTTTTCTTCGTCAACTTTTTTTTCTTCTTCAATTTTGGCATCTAAAACAACCATTAGTTTCATTAACGGTAAATAATTCTTAACGGTAAATTTTCGATGTTTTCGATTATAAACCTTGCAAAAGTTTAAGTTCTGTTTACCAATTAACTGTTGTTCACAAATAATAATAATAATAATACTATTATTAATAGTAAACTATAACTTAAATACAAAAATTAATAGAAACTCAAAATAACTAAAAACAACATTAAATATATTTCACAAAAGATATCTATTAAACAATAAATTCTTTTGCAAAGTAAAGGAAATCTAAAGTTTTACACTGCATCTACTATATACGTGTATATTCCACTAGCAATCTTATATTCTAAATATTGAAATACATATAACAACGTGTCAGTGATAAAATTTAAAAATCGTTGAAAAATGATTACGTAAAGAAAGATGATTTCCAATGATAGTATGTATTATCCCAAATTTTGAAAACTTCAAGTTTTAACGTGGTGCTTGTTTTAACTACAAGTAAAACTATTGTTAAAAACAATCAGTTAAAAAAATAATCAGTTTTCTTTAACTAAATAAAAAAAAACTATATTTACATTGACAGTATAATTGGCTATGAAAGAAATCAGTTATCAAAAAGAACTGCAACAGAATAGTTGGTGCAACATAATCATTTACTACAAAGCGTTTCAAGATATCTTCTTAATTAAATACCTTTCGGCTAACTTTTTAATCTTCTTCTTTTTCATCATCGTCACTGTCATCTTCATCGTCATCTTTTTTTATTTCACTTTTTTCATCCCCGAGTTTATGATGAGTATTTTTTTTGAAATTTCTTTTTAAATTATTATTATCATTATTCAAGTAATCTTCATCATTTAATTCGTTTTTTATGAGTAATGTGCTGGTATCGCGTCTTTTTCTTTTGGCGCCATTAGTTTGTTTTAAATGAGTTTTTGAGTGAGTGTGAGATTTGGCATGCTGTGAAAATGGAGCGTTTGGTGTTTGAGAGATTCTATTAATAGTGTGAGTTAAAACTGTTCCTTTTTTTTGTAATTTTACTCTCCGTTTACCAAGTTTTTTTTGAAGCTTTGTTTTTGGTTGATTTTCTTTTTGATTTTTCCCATATTTATATTTTTTCTTTTGTTTTTCTTTTTCTTTAGTTTTCTTTTTTTCTTTACCGCCTTTTTTACCTAAATCATAGTAACTAATCATAAGTAACACGTGATCATTGATTGTAGGATTATTTGGCTATGCAATAAATGCGTACTTGGTTGCATCAGGTTTACTGGAGGTGCTGTATGCATTGCAAAGAATTTCATTTATATTGAATGTGCATTTCATTAAAGTTGAATGGAAGTTTCATTGGTGTTGATTGTGTATAGTGTTGGTATTAAAGATTACTGTGGTCATACACACTACTTCTGATTTTGAAGCTTATTTTATTTTTTACTTTCTCTAATTATATCATCCTGATTTTAAATATTTGTATATAACTTATAGCGTGAAATCGATGTAACGTTTTAATCACTTAATTACTTCGTTACATGTTAAAAAACCTGACTATATGATAAGATTATCATGAATAGCTTATGATAAATCTAACAATTGAAACTTTAAAAGAACAACTTTTTCAAAAAAAATTATCAAATTAAACAAGCTAAAAATATAAAAATAAACTGTTTTAGCTAAAACTACTAGGCTTGGACATGAATTAATATAAACTATATTTAATCGTAAAACTTTTTCAATCAAAAACTAACTAAAGTTATTGTTTAATTAAAAAAATATATATATGTATTAAAAACCGTACCAGTGGCTGATCCTTCTTCTTCCTCTCCTTCTTCTTTGCTATAATCTGATTTTTCTTCTTTTTCAGTCTCCAAATTTTCAGCTGGTGGTGGTGGTGGTGCATCTGGTGGTGGTGCTGGTGGTGCATCTGCTGGTGGTGGTGGTGGTGCAGGATCTGCTGGTGGTGGTGCAGGTGCTGGTGGTGCTGGTTCTAGTGGAGGTGGTGCGGGTGCTGGTGGTGCAGGCTCTAGTGGTGGTGGTGCGGGTGCTGGTGGTGGTGGGGGTGGGGGTGGTACGTAGTCTACTGGAGGAGGTGGTGGAGGAGGTGGTGGCACATAGTTAGGATCGTATGGTGGATATACTGGATATGGAGGAGCAGGGAATGGAGGTGGTGGTGGTACAGCAGCTGCAGCTAAATTTAAATAAAAAAGTTTTAATGCCCAAGTAATAAACTTAAAACAAACTACGTTAATAAAAATAACTATGAAAAAAAAGAAAGTAATAAACAAACAATAAACAAAAGTGAAATCTTAAAAATTCAAACGAATTAAATAAAGAAAGGCAATAAGTAAATAAAGATCCGTATGAAATACAGCTATAAATGAAATAAAAAATGTATTTAAAAAAAACACAATAAAATTTACTTTCCATGACATTAAGTAATTGTAATAAAGAGCTTACGTGGACAATACCAGTCGTCTACAAATACACATCCAACAAATGGGGGAGGAGCTGGTGGTGGTGGATAACCTGGTGTTTTTACGAAATCTGGTGGAGGAGCTGGAGGAGGAGCATACTGCTTATCGCTATTTTTTCCATGGCCAATACTTCCTTTAACTTTATCACTTGATTTACCTTCTAACTTCTAAGAAATAAACTAGTGTATAAAATTTAGAGTAAAAAAATCTTATCTAAACATGTATTAAAAATATGCAAAACTTTTATAATTTTTATAATCAAAACTTTTATTACCTTATCATTATTTCTTGAAAGTTGAGACAAACCCCCATCTTTTCGATGAGGTTTTTTGTGCTTATGTGTGGGTTTGGCTAAAATCGAATGGATATATATATATATATATATATATATATATATATATATATATATATATATACATATACAAAAGAATAGCCTAAGATACAAGTAGGAATAACAAATATAAAAACATACCGTCAGCAAAAAAAAATAGCAAAGCTATTAACGCCACTATAGTATGAAGCTTCATGATGTCCGCTACTTGTGGACCGGAAAGCTATTATTACTCTCAAGCTCCACTTCAAACCTTTTTAAAAAAGAAACTGAAAATTACCCAGTTGCAACGGCTCATCAAAACTTTAAAGAAAATACCAGTGCTTTTTTATTCAAGTTTCTTGAAGCGTGATATTATAATTGTAAACACGGTAATGGTTAAGTAAACAAAACTTAAAACTGTGAAGTTAGGTAATTGTTTTCGAAAAACTTTTTGTTTTAATATGCCTAACTTTTTAGCCAGGTTTGCATTTAATCTAGAAATTTAAGGTACCTCCATTTCCACTTCCGCCTCCACTTCCTTAAGAAAATTTAAAAGAATTGGGCTTAAGACTTAATTTTAAATTAAGTTTTTGAAATATTTAAGTTTTATTTTTACAAATATGTGTTCCATATTGATTCAAATATTGTTTTTCGAAAGTTCCGCTTGACTGCAAAATTATACAAAGCCTTGTCTTTTTACGCTTGATTACACAGGTTTCTGATATGCAAACATTCATCGAGTAAGTCTAATTAGCGGTACGCGCGGATACAAACGTTGTCGCCATTCAATAATTGATAGTTCTGAAAATTAAAAAATTGTACAAAATTTGTTTAAAAGCATTTTATATCAAATTTTTGTAAACAACTAGTGTAATGATGAAACTGAACAAATAATTGCTTCTACAATAAACAATTTTTTTTTTTGAGGATCATATACTATCACGCTCTTTAGGGCAGAGCGGAAAATATCTGGGTTAGGATCTGTGATCTTTTTTCTTAAACATTACACTATTGCACAGTGTGTCATTTTAAAAATGTAACGGGAAAAATTTCTGAATGCAAAAAGTTTTTTCTTATTTATGTTAAATTATAGACATAGTAATCATAATAAGATTTGACTCATTCTATTTCAAAAAAAAAAATTAAAAAAAAAAAAAAAAAAAAATACAACTTTTAAGTAATTTATTTGTGATACAGCACATTGTATTTCTGCGTTACTTTCTTTTGATTGAGAATCTGTTCATTAATCAACACTGACATGTTCAAAATATAAGTTTACAAGCCAATAAGCGAAAAGTCAATAAATAAAATCTTTGAAAAAAAGGTGCTTAAAAACGAGTTTTTTGAGCTTTTTTGGCTGCCTAAATTTTGATGAAGTTGTCTTAGCTCACTATTTAAACCAAATTTTGTTTAATCAAAATAATCAAAAAATCAGTAACTTGATCTTCGGTCATGGTTAAACGGAAGGAATTTTCTACAATCTTCAGTTTAATTAACGATGATTCACCCTGAGCAAATGGCACAGGAATTGTGTTGAAAACCCGGAGTATGATGCAAGTACACAAAAAAAGGCATTCAAGTTTCTTCTCGAAGATTTGATTAAGTAGCTGCAGTGGAATCCCGTACTTTAAAAATTATTTTTCGTTTTGTTAAAAAGGTGAAATTCTTCAATGATATCCTTTTTGTTCATACCTCTTGGATAAAACCGTGCAAGTTCACAAGCTTTATTTTGAAAGATCATCATTATCTAACCAGGTAACCAGGTAAATAAAAACATATTGTCAACCATACTGTTTGCCTCAAATATTTAATCAATCTGCTGGATCAGACAATCTAAATCAAAACTAAAAACGTTAATTCTTTTATTTGGCTGTTGAGGAAATGAGCTGTGCTTGATATCTCATCGTAAAAATGTTTCTATTTGCAAATTTTCTCTTTGAAAATTTGAAATCGAGAGCCTCTAATCCATTTAAGATTTCTATTTTTCTTGCAGCAGATGTCTAATTAAACTTGCTGCTCCCTGATTAGATCCAGGTTTTCTATGGCATGTTTTAGAGCAGCCAACATTTATTTTTAACTTGGCAACCGTAAAAATTACAATTTAAAACAGAAATTATAATATTAAAAAAAAAAAAAATTTGTTGCCGAATTTAAGAAATCGGTTAGAAACGAAGTGCTCATAGAAGGCTTTAAAGCCAGAGTTAATAAAAAAAGTTATACAAAATTTTAAAAAACTTTTTTAAATTATCAACTAACTTATTTAACCTTTAACTATCAACTAAAAAACAAAATAAATCAATCAAATTATAAATCAACTTATTTAACCAAGTACTTATTAAATCAACATCAACACTAATCCTAACTTTAAACTAAATGAATCACTTCAATACGTTTCACCAAGGCATTAAATTGAAATTTCAACATTTCCACCAACGATTTAAGCAAAAATTTGATTTTTTTTCCTATTGGGTTTAAAATCAACATTCCGTCAACTTTACACTTGATGCAAAAATTCAAATACTTGATAACTGGCCGAGCCATGGTAGAGGCTATGCAGTTTATTTGCATAAATAATGCGACGTTATAATTATTTCTTTTGCTTTAACAGTCAAATATTACTTAAAAATTTAGTGCTTTTATCGAGAAATTGTCACCAAATGTTTCGTTTGCTTTAACATTTTTAACAATTGTTTTGCCATAAAATTACTTACCTATAAAATGCACTGCTAAACAAATTTGTCAGTGCTATAAGCGTCGACTGCTTCAAAGAAAAAATTAATCAGCTACCATTATAATTACCACAGCGCAACGTTTTCCAATTGAGCAATGAGCTAGCATGGCTAACTGGTCATGGGCTTAAGAAACACACCCGGTTCCATCTAATTCAACTACAACGAAACCCTGTGTTTTTTCGTAAAAATAGTTTCTAATTAATTATAGTAATAGAATTTAAGATTTAATTTTTTTTTTACATGTACATTTTTATTTCGAGTACTAAAGTTTCAACCTCAAATAAAAACTAAGCAAATTTCACATTTTAACTCATTAAAATGTTTTCTATTTACTGTGAAAAAAAAAACAAAAAAAAACTCATGAATCGCTACGCGCCACTTCAAGCTTAAAACGCGGGTCAATTCGCCCCTTTTGCCCCTCCTTCTCGAAGACCCAGCTAAGAATCTTCACTTTTTAAAACTGTATCATTTTGTTTTCTAATAAACCAATTGAAGACCTTGGAATGAAAACCTCTAATGTCCACATTTATGCAAATTGGATTAATGTTATTTTTTGTTGCTTATGGAAACTAAAAATGAACAACATGTTTATCTGGCTGCATTGAAGTGAGAAATATAAAAAGAAGACGTTCAAGAAAAAAAAGTAACGTAAGTAAGTAAGTAAGTAAGTAAGTAAAAGAGTAAGTAAGTAAGTAAGTAAGTAAGTAAGTAAGTAAGTAAAAGAGTAAGTAAGTAAGTAAGTAAGTAAAAGAGTAAGTAAGTAAGTAAGTAAGTAAGTAAGTAAGTAAGTAAGTAAGTAAGTAAGTAAGTAAAAGAGTAAGTAAGTAAGTAAGTAAGTAAGTAAGTAAGTAAGTAAGTAAGTAAGTAAGTAAGTAAGAGAGTAAGTAAGTAAGTAAGTAAGTAAGTAAGTAAGTAAGTAAGTAAGTAAGAGAGTAAGTAAGTAAGTAAGTAAGTAAGTAAGTAAGAGAGTAAGTAAGTAAGTAAGTAAGTAAGTAAGTAAGTAAGTAAGTAAGTAAGTAAGTAAGTAAGTAAGTAAGTAAGAGAGTAAGTAAGTAAGTAAGTAAGTAAGTAAGTAAGTAAGTAAGTAAGTAAGTAAGTAAGTAAGTAAGAGAGTAAGTAAGTAAGTAAGTAAGTAAGTAAGTAAGTAAGTAAGTAAGTAAGTAAGTAAGTAAGTAAGTAAGTAAGTAAGTAAGTAAGAGAGTAAGTAAGTAAGTAAGAGAGATCTTTTTTCTATAAATGATGGTAACTACATTTCTAATGCGTTTTATAAAATGCATACAAATCTTCATCATTCTTAATAAAAATTATTCTTATTTGTTTTAGGTAAAATCTTTTGATGATGAGATATGAGATTTGTATGAAAGCATTTTTATTGATTCATGGTATTTCTCATCCTCGACTGAGACGTATTCAAAATCATTTCAAAAGTACAGGATTAGCCCTAAAGGATAAAGAGGAAAACATAAAAATTGCCCCCATGCTATATCTGATCGAATAGTACAGCTCATTAATTCTCATATACAATCCTTCAAAGGCCGTCAAGCCATTATTCTTTCAAAAAAAATAAAAATGTAAGATACCTTCTTTATTATTTTTTTACAACCAAGTACAATCTATCCTTTGGATCTCCTCGCAGTGACGCATGTTCATACTGTGGTTTTATTAAAACAAAACTTCATGTTTTTGAGATTCCTAAAGAAGACAAACAAAAACTGGAGATACAACACAAGCATCATTTGGAAACAGCTCAAGAGTTTGTAATAAAAAGCATACATATAACTGATACTACTGTTATATCATTCGACTTCATAAAGATTTACCTTTGCCAAATATGGTTGCAAATGCAACCATATTTGGCATATGCAATTTTTTCATGATTTGGTTTTGGTATATGGTAGTATATGTACTTAAAAAATTGATCGTGTAATTCACATTTTTCCTATAAGAGACTCTTTTTAGATAATGTTAGTGAAGTTTTAGCTAAATAAAATAGTTTCTTTAGATCTTGGGAAAAGTTTAAAAAACTCAAAAAAAAAACAAAACAGAATACCTGCAACAATTTCCTACAAACTGTTCTATAATGGTTTGATTCCGATAACGGGGGCAAAAAAAAAAGGGAAAAAACCATGTCAATATTTACAAAATCTTTAAAATGCTTACTTTTATGAAAATTGGATTTGTGATAGTGATATGGTAGATGCTGATGAAGAAGATAGCGAGGGATTTACTGACACAGATTAAAATTCATATTTAAATAACACAGTATTTTAGCTATAAAATTTTAGTTTCTTTATAATGTTTTATAATCTTTATAATATTTAAGTTTCTTTATAATGTTTTGTATTTTATGCTTTGTATTTTTTAATTATTTTAATTATTTGTTTTTTATATTTTGTTACTTATAAGAAAAAATGTTCATAAAATACATTTTTTTTCTTCCACTTTATAAAGTATAAGAAAAAAAAAATTATTGTTGTTTTTATTTCTCCTTTTATAGTCAAATTCAGGGCTGTCCGAGAGGGGGGCGTAGGTGGGTGTCTCGCTCCCCTACGAATTTTATTAGTTGGGAAATTGGACACTTAGTCGGCAAATGGGACACTAGAGTCTGCAAAATTGGAATCATCGATGG